CTTCCTGTCTGCTCTACTTCCTGTCTGCTCTACTTCCTGTCTGCTCTCCTTCCTGTCTGCTCTCTGTCTGCTCTACTTCCTGTCTGCTCTACTTCATGTATGCTCTACTTCCTGTCTGCCCTCTGTCTGCTCTACTTTCTGTCTGCTCTACTTCCTGTCTGCTCTCCTGTCTGCTCTACTTCCTGTCTGCTCTACTTCCTGTCTGCCCTACTTCATGTATGCTCTACTTCCTGTCTGCTCTCTGTCTGCTCTCTGTCTGCTCTACTTCCCGTCTGCCTATGCTTCCTGTCCGCTCTACTTCCTGTATGCTCTCTGTCTGCTCTACTTCCTGTCTGTTCTAATTCCTGTCTGCTCTCTGTCTGCTCTCTTTCTGCTCTACTTCCTGTCTGCTCTACTTCCTGTCTGCTCTACTTCCTGTCTGCTCTACTTCCTGTCTGCTCTACTTCCTGTCCGTTCTCCTGTCTTCTGTCTGTCTGTCCGTCTGGACTTGGGCTCCTTTTGTTTCTGCTCAGGCTCTTTTAGGGAACTGTCAGGGTGAATATTCACCTCGCTTACTGAAGCAGACACAATGACACCTTTAAAGCCGAGAGCTGCGTGCATCTCCGTCACATGTTTCATAAGGTGCAAATTCCATTTCTGTGGCAAAGTCTTCAGAGACAATCGTTTACACTTCATTAGCTGTGTGTGTGTGTGTGTGAGGGGGATTATTGTGTTTAGGTTTTCAGACTCTCAGAATTTGTGGATGTTTAGCACAAAGATCTGACTGTATTTATCTCTAATATGCACAGACTCCACTCTGGACAGGCCAGTGGGGTCATAAAGAATGACAAAAGTAGACTCACAGCTCTTTTTCACTCTTTAAATGTATCATATCATGAAATAATTAAACTAAACATTCCCACAACGACTCAACGGCTTGATTTGGCTCAGCTGCTCATCTCCAAAGCTTCTTCTTTTTGCTTGCTTTTATGATGATGTTTTACCATTTTACACACATAGCTATGGGGCTCCTGTTAGGGTTAGTATACTAACTATTATACTATATTACTATGCTATATACTATATTACTATAGTATATTTGTGAGACAGTGCGTAGTTTAGTCAGCACGTGACCACCACCTATGTTTTCTGTCCATTTTTCTTGTTGAGGTTCACTTTTGGTTCATACAACTATGAACTAACTAAGAATGTTAAGAAGTGTTGATAGACACCAAACGAACGACTTTTATATTGTGTTGTGTTAATGGAACCTTTTTAAAAGGGGATACGGAAAAAAAAATCCTCCAAGCTGGAAGTATTTCCTGAATTTTTGTCTTCCAACAGTGGTGGAAGTTGTGTGAATTGCTAAGATTTAGCTGAAATGAACTTTATATAACTGTCACGGAACGTTTGAGGATAAATTTGTTTAAATTAATTGATAAATGAATGAATTATTAGTTTGATAAAGACATTCATTTTACGAATATCATCCTTAAAAGTGGCAGATTTCAGTATCCACCTAGTTGGCTTTTAAAACTTCTTAAAAGTTCAAGATGCTGTCATAATATGACAAAATACAAACAATCTGCTGGATTTTAAGAAGTTTTGAGCTCAAACTAGAACTAAAAGCAGTAAACAATAACTGAAGATGCAACGGCCACAAAAATAATTTAGAAGATAGGAAGACCTTTGCCCTTAAACTAAATGTTCAAAAAGCCACATGGGAAACCCACAGATCTACACTGCCATAAAAATAGTGGACGTGCAGATACTGATTCCCAGAAAATCCATAATCACTCATGCATGTTGTTTC